CTATTGATAGGGTATATATATATATATATATATAATTTAAAATCTATTGGGGAAAATTTTTTATAAATTTAATTCATAAATTCATACATTTAATTAATTGGATGCTTTCAGACACAAAAAATTAAAGCATGCCATTATATTTTTTCTCGTTTGTTAACGAGTAAACTTTACTATTGCACAATATATGTATGCGAATTTATAACAATGATATCACTTAAAAGATCTTCCTAACAGCTCTTCCAAAGTAATAGGACTATTCTTTACTGAAAATATATAATTTTATAAAGCATTTGATCCAGTATCTTACTGGAACCGATATCATAACTGATCCAGTATCGTAAAGGAAATATATATCGAGCAATGAAACACTGATTCCGGTATCATATTGAACCGGTGTATTACAAGACAGCATACATTTTTTTTTTGCAGGAATTCATTTTTCCAGCTGGGTTATTGACAATAGGTTTACGTGTATTTAAAAATGTGTATAAGCAATGGACGAACTAAATAATATTTAACTTATTATAGATAATATAAAACTTCTGATACTAATGTTATCCTTTATTATCTCGGAAAACTGAAATTCCACAACCAATTTTATGTTATTTTTTATTTCAGTATGGCTATCTTATTTTTAATATTTGTGCAGTCCATAAGAATATATTTATAATAGCTGGAAATACTTGTTAAACTTTAAAATGTAATAAGAGTTAATCTAATATTGATAACGTCACAAACTGCCAAAATGTCTGGGACAACGATTCAGATCTGATTAAACAAACCCCGTAAAAAGCTCACTTTTATTAGCTATATGGAAAACAGAAAACCAGGAAGAACACCAATTAGGCGGCTTGACTAGGTTTATAATGTTTTTTTAAGTAATATATTAGGGGAACTGGAAGTGTCTTGTTGAATCAGATAGCAAAGACTACTTGGAACAGCTGCAGCCTGTAACAAGCCTCAAAAGATAAAACACTAATTTTGGAATTATATCGGAATCAGTATATTACAAGTCAGTATATTTTCTTATGCTGGAATTTGTTTTCTATCAAGTTAGTCATCAATAAATTAATATATGCTTAGTATTCTGTGTAAAAATTAGTGAATCTACTTAATATTTAACTTATTTTAGCGGATATAAATTTTATAAATGTAAAACTTATGTTAACCTTAATTATCTCGGGAAAAACGTCAACTGAATCCCAAACCGTTCTATCTTTTTTTTCATTATTTTTGTGAAATTATAAACCTCTTCGCACTAGCAATATCAATATATATAATCACGCACGCACGCACGCACACACACGCACGCACGCATGAGTGCACACACACACACACACACACACACACACGCACACACACGTATGTGTGTGTGTGCACTCATGTCCATAAATTAAGGATAATGAAGTTCAGGCACAGAGAGAGACAGAAGCCAAACAAATTTGTCTTATTTGTAAAGTCTATGTATGAAACAAAAGGTAAAGAGCAAAAATGATGCTATATGTTTGACATAATTAATAAGAATTGCGATTTTTACTCCCTGGAGCAAATTTAAAAAAAGAACCTACTTACAAAAAACAGTATAACATGGTTAGTATGATGGTTAATACGGAGTATCTCTCCCGGACGATACAATACAGGCCGTACAACGCCTAGGCATGCTGAGTATCAAATTATCAATCTGATCTTGGGGAATATTACACCACTCATCAAGCAATGCCCTCCGAAAGTCCGGTAGACAGGTGGGAGCGGGTTGAAGGGCTGCAATTCTTCGGCCGAGTATATTCCACACATGCTCTATTGGATTCAAGTCCGGTGATTATGCTGGCCAATCCATACAGGTGATATCCTCCGGTTGAAAGCATTCGTCTACAATGTTTGCACGGTGAGGATGGGTGTTGCCGTCCATAAACAAAAATTCAGCACCCATGGCGGCCCGAAACAAACGTGCATGTTGTTCCAGAATGACATCCCTACAGATGTGGCCTGTCATCGTTACACTCTGAACATGCAGGTCAGTTCTGGAACCAAGAATAATTCCTCCCCAAAGGAGCCATCCTGCACCACCGTAACGGTGTCGCTCAATGGTGTTGTCTTGGTGGTAACGGGTACCTGCCGCTCTCCATATGAAAGTCCGGCAAGAATCAGACTGCAAACTAAACCTGGACTCGTCGGAAAACATCACACAAGACTACTGTTGCGGTGTCCACAATGCATTCTCCCTACTCCCTCGCAGGCGACAGTGAGTTGCGGTAAGTGGAACACATCTGACAGGCCTACGAGCATATAGACCAATGTGCCCGAAGCGTCTGTGCACGGTCTGCCTTGAAACTGTCGTACCGGTAGCTGATTAGAGCTGACGAGACAGGTCTGATGCTGTGCTCCATCTGTTTCTTTTGGCAGTAACTGCCAAATATTCATTCGGCGTTGTAATTCGGGGGCGACCTGTGCTGTAACGTCTACTCGCATTACCATCATCTTGGAATCGTTGCCAAAGTCAGGAGATGACACTCTGGGAGATTCCAAGTTCCTCGGATACTTCCAGCTGGGTACTTCCACATTCCAGTCGTCCGATGATTCTGCCACATAAAAAATCATCCAAATGCTTCCTTAGTGCCATAACTATGCGGTTATTGCACTGAAAGACTTTTAAAGCGCTTGTGAACAATTTTACTTCGTTGCCACCATTCCTTATATACCCCTCTCTTACACTCTCGTCATTGTGACGTACTACCAGCGTCATCTAGCGGTTTCCTGTAATTTGCATATTCTTCTTCAGGATGTGTGTGATAATTCTACAGGTGAAATTTTAATTTTAGAGTTTGATTTCCGTGNAGGAGAGATTAATTTTTCTTTTTGGTATGAATTCATAACTATTTCCTAGGCGAAGGCTGAGCAGTAACTTGCTAGTCACTTCCAATTCGCTGCTGCACATGTGCTATTTTAAGTCTAAGTCATCTCAGCAATATCAGGGAACTGTGAATAAGCTCTGTAAATATATATATATATATATATATAAACAAATTCATTTTAAGAAATTTCATGATATTAAGTCAACCTTTTTATCGACATGATAAAATAAGTATAGTAATTTTGACATACCAAAATATCAATCCAAAACAAAGTCTCCGAGTTTCACCTCTTATTTAGAACAATTAGAATTTGTAATCTTTTCCCTTGCAGACAGTGTTAAAATAACAGTATAAATTATCATTACTTACTGCAGATTTTTCTTTACACAGATAACGCTAATGTGTTTTTAATGCATTTCTGGTAAATAATTAGTAGAATTGGTTTGTTATCAAAGTTACAAAACATGATCCACTGCGTTAACAAGAGAGCTCGAAAAGTTTTAAGCATTAATTAAGTGATTGATTGTTATCATTGGTTTATCTTTTTCCAAAAACAAGTGAACAAACATTGTACTCATCATTAGTTGCTTCACTGGTAATCATTGCAGAAATCATTACGTCTGAGATTCCTTACTACATTGGTTATCATTAGGAAAAGTAACTTTTACTTTGTTTAATGTTAATATTTAACATAGTTAGAATCTATTTATATTGAATTTAGTATATACTGTATCTTTTTTAAAATTAAAATGTAACGTATTACTGATTCATAAAAAAACATTAACTAAAATAACATTAAAAAACTGTTTTTCTCAAAAAAGTTTAAGAAATAAAATATTTAATGCGACAGTACTATTTTGAATTATTAGACAGATTTTTTTTCATAAAACTTCATACAAAAATAGGAAAGTGACTTGTAATATTTTCTATTGATAGGGTAATCTCACCAGTGAGGGAACACTTAAGCTTCGCTTGCCTTATAAAAAATCGTATTAATTTCAAAATTCGTAATTTTAGTTAAATGACAGTGTGAACATATTTGTTACTAATTGCAAATTATGTAAAAAAATTGTAGAGAACTTACATAATATTGTTTTAAAGTTTTGGAGATTCAAATGAAAAGTAGTAAGAAGACCAAGCGAAAGAACAGCTCTTACCAGTGAATGAACATCCAGTAAAGGCAGGGCCGGATTTAAGCTTGGCGGGGCCCTAAGCTACTGAAAATGATGGATCCCTTTTAAGTCCAATTCTATTTCTATAGACCTAAAGTAAACTGTCGTATTTTTTATTGCTTAATATTAACATTATATTATTAAAAATTTGATAATATTGCTTGATTGTTAAATATATTGATTGTGATGGGACTATAATATAGAGCCTTTCTATTATTACACATATTTTTTGAACGAAGGAAAAAGCAGAAACTCATTTTAAGAACATCATAAGCACAGAGTAAATATTTGGCATGTTAGAAGAACCATTACATGTTTAACAGAGTTTTTTTTTCTTGAAATTCTGAATATATGTTATTTGGAATTTTAAATAATTTTTTTTTTCTTTCTGCGAAATTTTTTTCTAAATTGTTTTTTTTTTTTTTTTTTTTTTTTTTTTTTTTTTTTAACCTTACATTTTGCTTTGCTGCTCTATGACTTAGAAACATGAAAATATGAAGGTGTGTCAAAAATAAGCAAGGAGTTAGAAAGAACATAAGAAAATAAAATTTGATTATTAGTTTTATTTTTTTTATAACCGCCGTTGAACAACCGACTTAATTTTGAGTTTACGACTACAAATGTTTAACTTCGTATAATATTGAATAATCACCTTAAAATATTGAACTCAATCCAGAAGACAAGAGAATTGGATCAGTACCCAGAAGTATTGGTTTGTTGTGAGAACTTAGAGGACTTTGTGACCACGGCAGATTTAACATCCACCAGTCACCATTTTATGCATGGGTATTCTTCAGCCGGCTAGATTCGAAATCCCATTCTCACGAACACGAGTTCAACGCCCTACCAACCAGGCTATCCCGGCCAAATTATTAGTTTATTTTATAATAGTCATTGAACAGCCAACCCAATTTCGAGTTTACGACTACTAATGTTCAACTTATTAGACTTCTAATTTTAAACTCAATTCAGAACACAAGGGAACTCCAGGATCAAGTATTGGAAGAAATTTTCGTCTTGGAGGGGGACGTTTTGATGGAACTGACCAGCATTTAAGTTACATGATGAGGAAAACCACAAAAGCTTTCCACTGTCAGTCTGACAACAAGGGGACCTATGATCCGTCTACCACTGAGGATATTTTACTTCGGCACAGTGGCTGGTGTAAGCCGGGTGTAGAATTCGTATCGACCAGTCAACACTGGGATTCGAACTCAGTGCCCTTGAGTCCATCTTCACTGGGTAATAACTCTGCAGGAGGTACCAATTTTATTGATTTGCCAAATTTTAGTCATCTTCAAAATGTAAATAGAAATTCAATCGTAATTTTTGTAGAATAAAAAGATGGAAATAAACCGTTTTTCCTCTTAATCTGCAATGATTAATCAGAAGCAACCATGAGGGTTAGTGTGCAAAATGAACAGGGGGTGTAGCTTTCTAGTTTTTTAAATACTTGTTAAATTATTAGTTTTTAACATGCATACTTTAAAAAAAATAAGAAATACATTTTTCAGTATTAAGAAATAATAATTAAAAACTGTCATCAGCTGGAATAGAACCCGCGATCTCACAGTTTTGTGTTAGATTTCATAATCATCAGCCCCAAATATACACACCTGCCTTGCGGATATTTATTTATTATTATTATTTTTTTTAAATTTAATAAATGAAGTTATTTGGATACTTGACATTCTTGAACTGGATACTTTAAATGCTTGACATTCGTTATTACAGAATGAAAAGCTTGGAAAGACAAATATTAGTTAATATTTAATTAAAGAAAAACCCGTATTGAAATCTAACGAATTGTCCCTGATAAATTTTGTGGCAGTAAAAAAAATATTGAAGCCTGATACATGTCCGGATTTTTGAAACACTTTCTAGTTTTACTATTTAATCAAATTGGTTTCGATGTCTTTCATCCCGCCTGTCTCATTAGTGATTCAGCATATTTCGATATCATTTTTGATTCGTTCTTACTTAATATTAATTTGTTTGCGACAATTAATTTGTATAACTTTTTTACTACATTTTTGCGAGGAGTTTAAAAATATAATATCGAGGGCATTAACTGAAGTTAAATTGGCTTTTTTTGTATGCCTCTTTTACTTACATCATCCACACACCCACACGCGACCTACTGCTTCTTAGAAACAGATATTAAATAGTCTCTTGATCAAATGATGGGACAAAATTTGCCTTTTAAACAAATCAAAAAACTTTTCTACCTTTTAAAATTGTTTATTTTTAAATAATTTATTAATACTCAAATTGTTTAAAAGATATGTTCCTTTTCATTGACAACACAGTTTTATATTTTATCTAGTCATTTATTTATATTTTTTAAACTTATTTTTTATTTGTTTTTATTTTATTAAATTAAATGCACAGATTTAAAATAAAAACAAATCTGCCAAAATTTTATAAATAGTTTCAATTTGCAATTTTAAGAAGTTACTTCGACTTTGCTTTAAAAATTTGAAATCCTTATAAATTAAAAAATTTAGATGCCTTATTAACTTTAAACACATAATAACAACAAAAATCAGGGAGTTAAAAATAGAAACAAGTATGATCAATAAACAATAAAATCATAAGCTAACTAAATAAATGAATTTTGTGTACGAAATATCATATTTTACAAATTAAACATAATTCATATTTCGGGGATACATGGAAAATTTGGTCAGACAGGAGGTTTGAACAATATTTTTTACATATATATTTAAACATTTGTTTAGCTGATGATCACTTGATTTCAATGCTCTATCAAGCAATATCACATGTTGCTTCTGTCTATTAGCAGTAAGTAAAATTAAAGTAAAACCACATCTGTTATCTCAATTTCATCCAAAATAAACCAAATCAAGAATTTTGGCAGATAGGCCTGTCAAAGAGGGAATTGAATAGTGGCCCACCATTTAAATAAATAAAGAAAGGAGTTCACGGATTCATGTACGATTAATTTGGAAAATAACAAATTAAAATCAATTACAATAATTAAGTAAATTAAACAATTAAGCTAGTTAAAACATTTAGGATAATTAAAAGGAAAAAAAGCTTTTATAATAAATTGGAAAAAATATATTTTGCAAAAAAGAAAAGTTAAAATTAAACGAGAAGCTCTTTAACGACAATGAGACACAACGGAAATCTCG